CCTACTTTAGGAGGTAAGCAAGTAGGTATTAATGCCTACCCCAATAAGCCTACCACCTATACTTCTGACCTCGGTCAGAAAAGAAGCCGGTAAGATTTAGGACATACAGAAGGATCAAGATCTATCACCATTAACCCTACTAAATGAAGAAACTAGGTTACACTAAGGGGTAAAAACTAGCCCTGATTAGGGGGTAGATACGTATAATCTAGATGATCAACTGCTTAGTGAAGATTAGGCCTATAAAGAAGCCTATAAAGAACCCAATAAAGAACCTAATAGAGAGGTAGAAAATGAGCTAGAAAGACAGCTCCAGGCAGAACTACTAGCACTAAGCAGAGAGATCTCTAGCAATATAGATGCCAGCAATATACTAAGTGGACGTCGAATACGTAAAGCAAAGCAAGATGACGATTTTGCATATATAACCACTATAGTATAGGGTATTGACGAAGAAGAGCCACCGGCTCTACTATATACATTTACAGCTGGTCTATACGCCGAGAAACCAAACGCTCGCCGCTATCGAGATGATCTCCTACTACCACCTAAGTACTAGAAGGATATTATAAATCATCCTTTTTAGCAAGGTTTTCTCGTAGCAATGAAGAAAGAGATCCACTCTCTATCTAAAAAAGAGACATTCGAAGTTATTGAAAAGCTAAAGGATCGAGGGATACAAATCCTTCCCTTACTATAGGTTTTTGTATACAAATTCGACTAGGACGGTTACCTTTTGAAATTGAAGGCTCAAATCTGTATTCGTAGGGATCTTAAGACGATTACCTATGAAGAAAAGAGAGCTGCTACGCTAGTAGTAAGAACAGTAAGAATGATCTTTGTACTAGTCGCTGCCTTTGACCTAGACCTCCGTCAGCGAGATGCTGTCACTGCATTCCTGAATAGTAAGCTAAGCTAAGAGAAACCGACGTATACGCAGATACTAGAAGGGTTCCAGTCCTTAGGTAAATACTAGAAGCTTCGTCGAGTATTGTACGGCTTACGGATCTCGCTACGTCTTTAGTAACAAGAAGCAGCTAGTGTACTCCGAAAGCTAGGTCTGCAACAAGTACTAGAAGACCCCTATATCTTCGTTGGAGAAGGGCTAATAGTCTTCTTCTATATAGATGATATCTTAATTGCTAGCCATATAAATGCTAAGGCAAGAGCTATACAATTGGAGCGAGATCTAGAAGCATACTAGGAGCTAACAGATCATAGAGAAGCATTATGGTTTCTCAATATCCGAATCATTCGCGATAGGAAGCAGAAGAAGCTCTGGCTATATCAAGATAGCTATATAATAAGCATTGCTACCCGCTACAATTTGACAGATCGACCACCTATCTATACGCTACTACTAGTTAACGAATTGACGCCTTACTAAGGCGTAGCCACCCCGAAGGAGATCCTTCTCTATCAAAAGAAGGTTGGATCCGCAGGCTATGCCACCACTATCACTAGGCCAGATGCTGCAAAGGCCACCGCTCGACTAGCTCAGTTCTTAACGAATCCAGGGCCCTAGCACCATCAAGCAGCTGACCGGGTTATCAGTTACCTATATACTACCCGGAACCTAGCTATTGAATATAGTGCAGACGCAGTAAGCACTGGAATCGAGTCCATATAGTTCGCAAGCGATGCTTCATACGGAGATCACCTAGATCGAAAGAGCTCTGCAGGCTATATCTGTTAAGCTTATAGTGGACCAGTTGACTGGAAAGCGAGTAAGCAACCCACCGTGACAACGTCAACCACTGAAGCAGAGTTGCTAGGCCTATCAGAGACAGGGAAGCAACTTCAATAGTGGCGTCGACTACTAAAAAGCCTCGGTTTTGAACCCTCCCACAATATGACGATCGACTGCGACAACGAGAGAACGATCAGCCTACTTACTAGTGAGGACACTGCCTTCGAAACGAAGCTTCGGCATGTCGATATTCATCATCATTAGCTTCGGCAAGAGGTTAGAGAAGGACGCATAATGGTGCGATGGGTGCCGACGGCGAGCATGGTTGCAGATGGACTCACAAAGATGCTATCTCGCCAGAAGCATGAGAGCTTCCTAAGGATGCTCAGGATGGTGGACATAGGCTATCTAATGGCCTAGTCAATTAAACCATGGAGATCAATATGCCGATCTAACAAGTCCAGCAATCCCATACTGGGATAGCTGAGGGGGTGTGTCGGAGCATGACGACCGGCATACCGGGGGATTTATTAATCCTACACATTTTTGTAATTAATGTTATGTAATCATGGCTCCATATAAATTGTACCAAGAGCCGATACAGAAATACAGAGAGTTGAATACCACTGATTGGACCCCTACATTTTACAATACAGACCAATCCGACAATCTTTGCGAGCCTAAATAATAAGGCACCGTCGCCAAGGATTTCGATTTTATCACTATGTACGGAGTACTCCGATCTAGATTAACCAAAGAGACTTGAAAGGTCATAAAGTCCCCATAAATAATATCCATGTAGTATTCCGATGTATATATCTTACGTGTAGATCTAGTTCGGGCTAAGTAGACTTGCAACACCTAGAATCCTAACTACCTCAAGAGTAGTTTAGTAGTAGTAATGGCTAACTAAATATTTAGCACATAATAAATTCATAAATTCGGTGGTATAGGCAGTTTTAGATGGGATGGAGTCTGAGCCTAGTGATTATGTAGGTAGCAGCACTAACTGGTACTACTGGACCCTGTAGATGCGGACACAATCGGATGACACTTCGATTAATACAAACAAGCCCCTGTCTGCTTGCACACCAGTCGGGCGGGCGCCTACACAAAGGAGCTGATAAATTAGTGCGTCACTTACTCTATCGGCTGGGTATGCCAGCTGCAGGGCACTCTATTCTCTCTTTTAAATCCCTGTCTTTCTTTCCCTTAACTTCAATCTGATCAAGGAGACTGACTAACTAGCATGCGGTTCATTACCAGGAATATACAATCTCGACATTCAGGCAAACGGACACTGGAAGAAACTGAATGATGTTATGGAATTGACTTTAGATAAAGTTATACCCCCCCCGGCTTATATGAAGACCATCGGACTGTCAATTCGTACTTGATCCATGGCAACCTCTGGGAGCAGAACATTGACCCACGCACGGAGAACATCTACATTTTCGATGCGTGTGCGTGCAAACTATGCCCATCATATCATGAACGCGCTTAAATTCCGCAACTCATATTTCAAGCTTTTCAAGCTGGACGGGAAAGCGGTGAATGACCGGAGAACGACAATACGACAGCAAAAAAATAAAGGAAATCGACAGTTGCAGGGTTCGAACCTGCGCCCTCGAAAGGACTAGATAACATGAATGTGTTAACACGAATGTGTTCGTTCAAGTCTAGCGCGTTAGACCACTCCGCCAAACTGCCTCGTGACATGGTCAAAGCTGCTAGCACGACGCGACGTCCCAGTCTCGCAGGTTGCAGATGTTTCGCCTCACTCAATTCTCCAACTAGGTACGCCAAGCACATGCGCTCAAATTTAGGTCCTTATTCTCGTACCCCTGAGCGCGCTTCCTCTGGAATGGATATCAATCTTCTGGCTACAGCTGCGTCGATCAATTCCCACCAAGATGTAATTAAATACTAAAGCACAGAGCAAATGGGAATCTATGAGGTTCGGGTTCGGGTTGCGGGTTAGAACCTCATACCTATTCTTGTGTTTTGGTACAGACTATATATTGTCAAATAGAGAGACTCAAAAATGTAAAGAATGCTTGCTTGATTGATTGATTGTCTAGATCGGGACCAGTGATCAACCACCCCTACCTGTTATGGCCTCTTGCAGAACGGGGATTTCAAAATATTCTATAGACTTTGTAAGTCAAAAATGCCGGTCCAGTGGAATCAATTGCATTCTCATCATATAACGCACTTCATATCTTGCTCAAAAAATACCACAATCAGACTTCGGACAATAGCCGGGGCGTCATACAGTGTAATGGAAGGAAGCAGGTTTCCGATCAACAGAGTCGCATTTTCACCAGACGGTCAGATGGTGGTTTCCTGTCTCATCGACCGGACGATCAGTCTCGGGGAAACAAAATTGCCAAATAAATGCACGGATCATTCGAAGCTGGTGTCGAGATTCGCAAAGTATCTTTCTCCCCTTGGGGTCAATACGTTGGATTTCACTTGGTTTCCTGAAGCTCATCATGGAATTAATGTGGCTGCATTGGGCAGGATTATCGTGATTGGACATGCATGCAGGACAATTTGTTTGTTTCTCTTAATTTTATCATGAAGGGAGATTGGACTTTCCCCAGGGCTTTCGGTCAAGTATCTCAAGTTCTCCTTTGTCTTCCACTACGTATTGGTTTTGCCTGTCCACTCTTTATTATGCAGTTATAATCATTGAAATACGGAGGAGCAAGTAGCATAGTGACAGATTGCCAATACAAACTTCTACACCGCTGGAAATTGACTGCTTGGGCGGTACGCCCGGGTTCCTCTATATGCAAGGTTGGGTATGAAGCTGAACTAGGAGTACTGAATCGACCAGTATGCTTTCGAGCATACAGCCTTGAGCGTTCCCATCTTCAATGGGCAGCTTAGTAGATTGTCAGTTCTTGCGACACTTTGCAGCAAGGGTTAGTCTCGATCCTGAAAACGCATCCTGACATTAAATCCCATGTTGGGGAACTCTCTGTCACCAATTCTAGGGGCTAGGGACTATTTATCAGTGCTAGGTGCTAGAAACAAAAAAGATTTCCATGAAAGATAGAGTACCAGTGATGGCAGTCCATTTGGCGATACGCTGGAGATCCCCCGAGCTACTAGACTGACTGCGTCAAGCTGGAGTTTGCCCCAAAAAGAAAAGGTTGGATAGACAAAACACGAGTGGCAACTGCAATACTCACCAAGTTTGACCTCCTGGCCCACTTTCTCTCCATTGATGATATCGTAATGCTCTAGCTGTTACTACTGATTACTAGCACTATAAAAGAACGGTATTGAACTTGAATGCAGTCTATATTTTACAAACCTGCCCTTGCATACTTCCCCCCAAGTCCTCTATACCTAAATGTGTGGCCAGGATTTGCCTGACTTTGTCCCAAATACCCTTCCGCGCGCTTATAACAGCCTCCTGGCGCTCTGTTGCAAGATTATATATGTATTTTTGTGCCACATTATCTGAAATAAAGTGCAAATACCCGAATCGAATATTGTTGTCTTGGCAGGCTTCTGCTAGGTAACCAACCTCGCAGTCCACCCAGTCTGCATCCTGTTTGTTGATAGCTAACCAATCCTCAGTTTCGACCAAGGGGCTTGGCACCGTAACGTGAGTCCCCTGACAAAGTTGTTCGATTTTCATCGTCGATAATGTCGTACTGAGGGGGCTTTCCCAAGAAAGAAGCTTGCCATCCACACGACTCGATTCGCCGGTGACTAGCACCTGATTCGGCACATCTTGGGTTCTCAATGACCCTGCTTTTCCCATGTAAAAAACACTGGATATGTTGTTCTGGGTTCGCATTGTGCGAACGACATTTCCGATGATATCGCCCCAGAGGCTCACCATGCTTCCCACGAAGGCAACAACACTTCCATCGGCTAGTGAGAAGCGTTTCCATGCAAATAACTGATCGGGGACATCTGTCCCTGTTTCCCAGATATAATCTTCATTGGTGGCCAGATGATCCACATACCCAAGGATGACTGTGTCGACAGCGCCCATGAATCGCAAATTGGACTGCAAGAGAATATTCACACAAGCTTCTGAAGAAGGTAGAAGATATTCTACTATTGATGCAGGGGCCTTGATCGAGTTCAGCTTAAGGTAATACGCGATGAGGAGAGCGTAATGTTGCACGTAGTCTCGTCCAGGGAAACACCTGATCTCCAGCGTGAACTCGTTGACGATAACAGCTATTGGTCGATGCCAATTGAATCGTTTTTCCCGTTTCTCGGTAGGTGAAATATGTACATCGGGATCACTTCGAGCATATCGGCCACAGACCCGAATGTGCGGCCAGACGCGGCTTCTTATCAACGGATGGATCTTTCCATCGATGTATGCCTTCAGAGTTTCGTACATCAAGTGTTGTTCAACCTGAAGAGAGTCATGGTCAACCCTTACTACGGCCATGCTGTTCCACTGGTAAGCATTCCTTCCGACTTTGGGACCCGCGCAGATACATTGGACGGTTCGGGCCACATACGGCTCGGGACAGGGACAAGTGATGTCAATCGGATTAACTATTTGCCGGTTGAAAGAACTAATTTATGCCCTACCTACATAGTGAACCAGTGATTTATTATTAGAGCATTATTATCATTCCTGATTGTACTCTAAGATATTCCTGACACACAATTTCCAGAAGAACTGACATATATTGAGCGGGAGCAAGTGTCTGACCTGATAAATAATTTTGAGTGACAGGGATTGGAGCCAATATGCTCCCAGGAATATACATTTAGAGAACATCCAGGCCCCACAGATAACTAGAGAGGCGTCAGCAAAGCACACTAAAACAAAATAGTCTCGCAAATGTAAGCATTTGTGTCCCAAGGTTGTTTATGGGTCCTATGGCAACCCATAAGTGGCTGTGGGGCTAGGTAAATAATCACATTTGACACTATTTCGTATACAATCTATTATGTTCAAGTTTCCAATATATGCATAATACATTCAAAAATGTTCCATGAGCTTGAGAAGACTCACATAGCGCTTCATTTATAGAAATAGCGGAGAAAAGCTGGATCCTTATTCTCAGCCCTAACTACACGCTCCTGAGAGTATTTACTATTGGGGGCGAAAAAGCAAAACAGGCACTAAAGAGTGCCGCTCACTTTGACAGCCAACCATATTCAAGATTGCACATGCAATATGCACCTCGTGTTTCCGTTCAAGGTAAAGACCACCTGCTGCTGTCCTGCCCCTGACCACAAAATGTGAGCTCTGGCCGCGCCCGGAGGCTGACTTGTTTCCTTCTCATTTCCTATTTCTTTGGGCAAAGCTCAGCACCCCATTGTGCAATTCCGCAATAATGACAGCAAATGCCTCGGTGAACATCCACTACTGGCGGTGGGCGGTGCCTCCACCGAGTCCACGCCCAGGTACCGCACCAGCGGCACTTAGTCCTCCCCAACTATCGATACCGGTGCCTCCACGCCCAGGTACCGCACCACCGGCACTTAGCCCTCCCCAGCCATCGATACCGGGGGATGAAAATCTACCGAAGGTCCAGGGTTTGAGCCAGACTGAATTATTGGCAAGGGATGTTAGTCAACTGAATAAATGCGATTTGCTCCCGCAGCATGCTGATAGATCCCGATTTAGTTCTATCGAACGCCGGGTATTCATGTCATGTGAACGAAACCACCCGCCAAACATTCGAAACTTGCTAATGTCTATATCAGCATCATGCCTAAAGTGGAAGACATCTTAGACATGAAGGGAAGCGGGAAATTTTGCAGAGAATTAGTAAAGAAATTCTTTCTCCCGGAATTCTTCTTTCGAAGACTAGGTTGGAACGCAAATGGAATGTTTGGCAGCTCTGAAAATCTGTCACAGTCTGATAAAGAAAGAAGCTATGGTATGAGTTCACAGATGACATTCGGGGATTCACTAATCAGAAGTATCATAAAGGAACATTCTCGCGTTTTCTCTCCAAAAAGGTAACGGAGAAAGACTCCAAGAAGGCATCCATGCCAAAAGTCGTGCACAACAAAGATCCAGCCCTAAGGCCTACCCCGGAATATGAGTATGATTGGCATTTTATGGCCTTTTGTACTCTGTGGCGGTCTTCGCGTCTTGATTCAAATACAGATAACGGCCCAGGCAAAACGGGGGAGCCTGCAGATGAAACCAATGTACTTGTGTGCTTTGATCTGGATGACGAGTTTGTCCTTCAACTGAGACGCCTACTGCATAATGCAGACCTCAGGAAGTGGGAGGAGGAGCCATTTTTGATGCTAGAGTTTGCACTGAGTATCGTGGTGGACCAGTGTGAGGAAGATTTGTGGAGTTTCCAGAAGCCAGTGCGGGACATAGAGAAGGTATTGTTCGCTTTGCTATTGTTACAAGATTACATTGGATATCTAACATTGAACAATTTATAGTCGCGGGAAAGGATATTCAAGGAAACCAGCTCTTATACCAAAGACGAGACATTCGATTTCCTCGTCGAACGATACAAACAGCTTCACGAATTATCACGACATGTGATTCACATTTCCGAAACAATGGATGCGGCCTCTAATAACCTTGGCGCCATTGTGCGAGATCACGATCTATGGATCGAGTCAAGTCTTCATTCTTCTGCGGCAACAAAGCGAGTCTCCAAAGCGCTCCTACTTCGAGAAAACATGATCTCCAACTTGAATTTCCGGGCCAAGGCTTTTGTGAGTCGGATGGATAATGAGATCAAGTGTGTGAGTACTATCTATAAACTATATATAAGAAACAGTATTTGAGGTTTTGACTAATTATATCCAGGCCTCCAACTTTGTTGCCGTCGGCGATAGTAACATCTCCAAAGGTATTCTCAAGCAAACTCGGAATGAAGGAAAAGTATTGTCCGACACAGTGTCTGCCCTAACTTTGCTATTTTTACCGAGTACTTTTATCTCGGTGAGCAATCGAACCCACCAAGCATTTTTTGTCAAAGCTGACCTTGCAATTTTGGCAGGGATTCTTCGGGATGAATTTCTTCACTCTCGAGAGCAACCAGACAACGCAAAAGTTACAGTGGGAGACACATCCGAAGATTTGGATTTTCTTCGTTTGCTCAATTCCAATTACCATATTGGGCTTCTTCCATTTCATGCTAAAGTTTGACTTCCATGATTTCATCAAGGACACGCAAGGATTCATTCATGACATTTTCCATCAAGGAAAAGGACCAGACCTCGAAAAGTCCAACGCTGGGACTCCGAGGGATTTTGGATTCTCCAGGCGTGCTACTTTGCACACTACAGCTTAGGGTTTGGGCACCTAGCTGCATCCATTTTTGCAAAAGCGCTTAATGAATATTTCACCATACCACATTCTAAACCAAGAGAGAAAATTAATTGTCGCCTAGCGAGCCTAGATGGAGGTTTGAAGTTTTTGATTGAGCTAGCTTTGTTATTGAAGTGTGTAAAAAGATGTAAAGTCTCATAGTAAGTACTTGCTCTATCACTCATGTCACGTAAAATCATAAATATCCACTCCTTGAACTGCCGAAGAATTACCACGTTACCAGCACATTAACGGAGATGAAGCATCTCGAGGATATCATGACGTGCAAAGAAAGACCGGTTCCATTTCCCAAAGACATCTGCACCAGGGAAATGGTTAGTTAGAAAAAGAAATCAAGATCAATACCGCACACTTGCTAAAACTTACACATGGGAATGCTCAACAGACATATGCCAACTTGGATGCTACCGATGATAATCATGGTGTGTTTGATGCCTCCGTGAGCGAACCATTTGTAGGCGAAAAATGTCAGAACAAAGCTGAACATATTTTTGAAAACCAGCATGCAGGTAAATGCCTCAATGGCCATCTCGCCTAGTATTGTCAGCAATCTCTTCCATATAAAGCCTGAAATAGTCCACATACGATGGGCATCGACGATATAGAGTGAAGCAGCAACGGCTCCCATCACCATGCCAACGATCAAGAATGCAAAGAAGACGTCTGGCAGCAGCCAGCCATAGTGCATCACATTATCTGCAGTCCACCCGAACCCGTAGAGTCCGATGCCGCAGCAAATGAGCTGAGGGATCACCAAGAGGATCCGGAATTCGGGCTCGTATTTGCCATGATTGAGCCGGATCATCAACTTGTTAATGGAATCAGAAAGCAGACCAGACAGAATGAGGCCCACAATCGAACCGATGAAGGCGCCTGTGTAAAGATATCCAGTCTTGTCTTCCTCGAACCACATTGGAGGTCCGAGAAACACGATTGCTAGAACCACACCGACGAAGACCGCCCATCCAATGACAACGCCTTGGATCAGACAAGCCTGGAAGGTAATCAGTCTGTGAAACTAAACGCGAAGTGAATTACTTACCCAGAAGATGCCTGGATGGAAGAACAACGGAAATGGACGAAGAAGCAGCTTGAAGAAGCTCTCATCTGTCTTTCGCCCATTGAAAAGCCTGAGCGACTGAGCGAAGGAATGTTTCCCGGGGACTGTTACCGCGGCTTCGACCTTTGCGCTCCCGTTCAGAACACTGGGGGCTGGTTTAAGTTCTTTGGTATCATCAGTGGAAGCCCCACCGAGCGAAACATGAGACTCCATGGACCCGCCATGCGTCCCGCTTCGCTTGAAGTCGGTGTTCAAGTAATCAGAGCGCCGGAAAGCGGTTTCGGGGACAAAGAAAAACATCAGCGGCAATGAAGCACCAAGGAAAATTGCCACAAAGTAAAAAGACCATTGCCATCCCATGGACTTCGTGATCTTGCCCACCACAACGGGTGTCAGAAAGGCCGCACCAAAGAGTGCAACATTAGATACAGCCATTCGCTTTCCTCGTTCCTATATTTTCTCCATCAGTCTCCTCATAACTTAAATATGCAGGAAATAGAGGACTCCACTCACATGAACGAAATAAAGATCTCCCACACAGGCATTGACCAATGCCTCAAACGGTGCCAGTGCAACACCCTGGAATATCCGTGCCCATATGAGACTATTGTTGTTCTTACCGCTAACCCCAGCCCAGATACAGCTGATAATCATCAAGACATGCCCGATCAGGAACAGATGACGTTTACCCCAGACTCGAGCGGTTGGCACAATGAGAATACCCGCCACACCGACACCGCACAGGTGATATCCAGTCAACAGGGCAGCTGCTGTAAACGTAATTTCCTCATAGTCCGCGATGGTGACCGTATTTGCGGCCAGAATGGAGCTTAGGGTTGTGCAGAGGATGGTTACGAAGGAGAGAATGGAAAGGATTATATCGCGTCGCCATAATGGCCAGTTCTGATGGGACCGTTTAGGTCAGCGCCCGTGTGCTCGTGGAACCAAATCCCGGGGTACGATGACTCTCTGGAACATACCAATGGGTCGTTTGGGTCATCGCTCGGTTGTGGGACGAGGATAACCGGCTGGTTACCCGACCTGTCATATTTGAGGCCCGAAGCCCCTGGGGTCTGGTCGCTGGAATCGCTGTTTTGTTCGTAGATATCGGATGTGCCTAGATATTTGAAGCTGTGATGAGCCACGCTGGATTCGATTGCGCCTAGACGGCCAAGGCTAGGGAAATGTTACCTGGGACATGCACGAGCTTCGTATCTTCCAGTACTCCAAGACCCATGATTGTAAGAAGCCCTGGAGCTAACGACGTGGCGATTGTTGTCCTGGGGTTAATGGTAGTGCAGCGGTTTAATAGAAAGTAAAGCAAGGTCAGGAGGGGTACGGAGGATGTGAGCTCAACCTAACTCTCGACCCTCCAAAGTTGGAAGCTACGTAAAAAAGCTTCTCGGGGCCAATGGGAATAAATGGTAGACATGGATAAAAGTAAGAGCTTAACATTTAGGACTATATTTTAGGACTAAATATAAGGACTAACCTTAGCAAAGATAAGCAGCTCGGTCGATATGTACATTAAGGCCCGAGTGTGGGCGTAACCTGCAGCGTCATTGTTTTGAATGTGATTGAGGCAAATTTCAAATCCTTGTTGATGAGACAACATACTGCATGCAAAGCTCCATTTAAGATTGCGTCTAAGCCAACCACAGGTCATTTATAATTTAGTAGCATACAGGACAGTATGAGTAGGACGCGGGGAAAGCTGACCTACAGAAGAGTTGCCCAGGTAAGCCTTGATCGGCGCTTCCAAGCCTAAACCGAGGCATCACATTCGGGCTTGACCGTTGATCCAATATTCGACCGAGGTGCAGGTGGATCTCTACAGTCAAGAATGAAACAGCCCGAAAGAAATGGTTTTTTTCTTGTAGCACACAAGCCTAAACCCGCAAGTTCAGTGTTGATGGGATCAGGGACTGGTCCACTGTGGATGGAACAGAACCACTAGTGCTGACCCGGGGCTTGCAGATTTGCCATTTGAACCTTATTATTGGTATAGAGTGTAAGTCGTACAACCCGAATGATCGTCTTTTTATTGAAAGATAGAAGGGGTGGAAGTGAAGTATTGTACGGAGTGGAGAACAAGGTGATTGGAGAGGGCTGTACTTGGAATATAGTTGGGAAATAAACGCCACGGCCCCCAAACAGAAACATCCACAGTTATGCCCAGGTAATTTTGTGAAATACCAATACATGGCCGTGACATTGACACATTGAACTATTCGAGACATATGTGTTGATAGTATCTACATACATACACCGGCGGCACCTGGTTCATATCCCAATACCAGCGGAGCTTGCCTTTTAATACAGAAGGGAAAAAACATGGGAACCTCCTGGTATTCCCTGCCGACACGTGATTGTTCAATATCATGTGATATGCACCATATCACGTGATGATAAGTGTCACATCACCACATGTACATCAATGGCCTCCAGAGCTAGCTAGACTCCAAGTTACGAGGCGCATTATTTCCACAGCATAGGCTGCAACGCGATCGCATTCCATATTCAAGTCGAGTCCTTGTCCTCGAAGAGCTATACCCCGCATCATTATCAAGTCTCAACCACCGAGCCGACGGTCTCCCCACCTACGACTACTACGCAGCGAGCACGCGAAGCACAAGCATTGACGCAAACCCAAAGACCCGTTACACCTATTCAGCCTAGTTTTAATCATGTCGTCCGTCTCTCCTTCAAAAGAACACGATCTTGACCCGGAGACGCAATCGGGAGAAGAGCAAGACCACATCGACAAGGATCACCAGGACGCGCAGGGACACCAAGGCGAGTTTGAGGTGAAGGAGCAGGATCGCTGGCTTCCGATTGCCAATGTGGCTCGTATCATGAAGCTTGCGCTTCCTGACAACGCGAAGATCGCAAAGGAAGCAAAGGAATGCATGCAGGAATGTGTGAGCGAGTACATTTCATTTATCACGAGTGAAGCATCGGAGAAATGTCAGCAGGAGAAGCGCAAGACAGTCAACGGCGAAGACATTCTATTCGCCATGACCTCGCTTGGCTTCGAGAACTACGCTGAAGCCCTCAAGATCTACCTATCCAAGTACCGTGAAACCCAGTCTGCCCGCGGCGACAATCAGAGACCCCCAAGCGCTGGCTATGGAGCTGGAGGACCTGTTGGTGGCCCGGCCGGAGGTGCACCTGGACTAGCTCGTCCAACGGGCTTCCCCAATGCCGAAGGCACAAATCCTATGTCGAACCTCAACCTGGACCCCTCCGAGCAGGATGCCTCTGCCTACGGCTATCCGCCCATAGTTGGCCAGCCTCACAATGGCGCAGGCGGCGAATCATACTAGTGAATGGCGTGAAAGTGTCGGCTGAGGGATGCTGTGACCAGTTTCAATCTTGGCTGCATGTCCTAGAGATCACCGACGATATCGATTTCAACGGAATTCGGAGAAGTGGGGGAGAAGATTTGGGGTGGGGGCGAAGGCGCATCTTTGATTTCTGCAATGTTCATCTGCACTGGTAGGTATCTCGGATACTTGACATAGAAAGAGAGAGAGATGATTCTGTGGGTTCCTGGGTGCCTGAGGCCTGGACGGTCCCCTGTTTGTTTCTCTCTTTCATGGTCATGTATTGGGGATCTTTTTCTCCCGTGGCTTCGCCATCGAGATAGACGTGGGGTGCGGTTAAATACCCCCTATGTAAAATACCCAGGAGTTCTGATATTTAATATCCAATCATTCAAAAATACCTCTGTACTGAATTTTGTGGAGAATCCCTTAGACGCCACATGTAAATCTATGTAAGGGTTTTGCGGGGAAAAGGTACCGCTGATCAGCGTAATGGTGTATTTTTGATCTATTGGGGTATTACCACGACCTGCACATGCAACCTGACTTGGAGAACAAAACCTCTCACATTTCCTTCCATACCAAGAACTCACTTCATCCAACAGCCTCATACCTGCAAAGATGAAGTTCGCCATCACTTTCGCTCTAGCAGCTCTGCTGAGCACCGTCGCTGCTCAAGGTCTGGGAGATCTGCCCGACTGTTCGGTATGTGTTTACCATTAACATACAACTGTGTCAAATGTGCCGCCTGCTGAACAACCCATTCCATAGAAATCCTGTGCTACAGGTTCAATTCCCCAGAGCTGCGGCATTGACTTCAAGTGCGTCTGCGAGTCCAAGTCCTTCTTGGCCGATGTCGCCTGCTGCATCGCTGATAAATGCTCCAAGGCGGACCAGGATAGTATGCTCCCTCTCCTTCCCTCTGTCCCCAATTGAATACACAAGTGCGGGACTATTCCACATGACTATGCACAATGGATACTGGAGCATTTACAGTCGGCTGATACGTTATTCTTCACCACAGCAACCATCAAGGTCGCCAAGTCAATCTGTGCCCGGGGTGGTGTGACCGATCTGCCCACCGAAGTTGTCTGCTCGAGCAGCAAGTCGAGTTCCAGCTCTGGAACAAGCACCAGCTCTAGCTCCAGCTCGACTGACACTGAGACCACCGGTGCGACTAAGACCTCGGATTCGACTACTGTGACAGGCACCAAGGCTTCTACCACAGCCTCGAACAGTGCCTCGTCCGCCTCTGCTGCGGCCACTAGCACTGGTGTCGCTCCTCTTATCCACAAGGATTCTTCGCTCGTGGCCGCTGCTGGTGCTGCAGCGGCGTTTGCCATTCTGATCTAGAATGAAGCGTGCTGCGTAATTTCAAGGGGGAGATACTATGTTTAGCAGCGTTGAAATATCGCATTGACGATGAAATGAATGGAAACACGAGAACTGCCTGATGATGTACCTGTGTCTTATTTTATCCACGACATAGTTTTAATTGATCAGGTACACGGTGTGTCTATATGCCACCGCTTTCTGATAGCGAAGGGATGTTTAATGTTAATAATACACTCATAGAAAGTAATACCGAGGAAGCAGCGAAAATGCTCAGTTTTCACGGGTATCCTCCAGCAGCTTGGTCAGACGTTCCTGGCGCTCCTCGCGGAGGGTTGCGAAATTCTGAAGAGTAGAACATTAGCATGAGAAACAGCCAATAGGTCAAATTTGCTCGGTTAAGACAAATTCCACTTACCCAGAACCAAAACATCATTTCGAAGAAAGCAAAGCTGAAGACCACCCGGTTCTTCAGACGATCCAAGCCTCCAATAGCCGCAGCGCTTGTGTAAGACGAGGCCAGGTGATCATCTCTGCTCTGGTAGATATAGAACGCAATTCCAGCATACGCACCAAAGCGACACGCAGCAACTGCGATCCAGACGCTCCAGTAAATCGTCAAGGACTTGGTGATATATTCGGGCAAGCGCTGTAGAACCTGCAGATCCTCGGCGGGGAGGTTGCCATTTCGGAGGGGCCGGATATAGGGGAGAGCCTCATCGAGAGCTTCGTGGTAGGGGATGTTGGACAGCAGGACGAGGTCGACAAAGGCCTCGATGAAGATGAGTATGGCACAGAAGGTGAAAGGGGATTGCTGCGGGCTTGACAGGGATGGAAAGTCCTATATCACGATCGTTAGCAGTCAAGATCAGATTGACCTAGGAAGACCCATTGCCAATATGGTAGAAATGGACTTGTAAATCGGGGATGCTGGTTCGGCGTACAATCTTCAAGGCTTCTCCCATCATAAACACCAGATCGCAGTCAGTGATCACCTCCGGGCTCTTGACCAGATAACCGGCGATCACAACCAGAAACACGGCATGTGCCTGGATAAGAGTCTTGGATGAAATTAAAACCATGATGGACGAGTCACAATGGCACAAGATTGTAGACAAGAGGGAAGTTCCAAAAGTCACAGACGGAAATAACTTGGAGAATTGGTCCGAGTGTTCTTTGGCCGCAAGGCATGTGGGGAAAAAGCAGCTCTGGTCAAGATATCCCCCCACCAGCACAACAACCGCCAGGATTAGATCTGATTTACGACTTGATGCGTGCTGATTAAATTGCGTGGATTAGTACTGGAATATTGCCCGGTTCCTGCCATACTACATAGTGGTCCAACCCTGATCATGACCGACCCAAACCCAACCTTCAACACAGAGCGTCATGTCAAATACTACCTCCGATGCCTGAAGACCTTCCTCCCGTCCGCCTATACCTCCAATGACTCTAATCGCATGCTCCTCGCCTATCTGACCCTATCGGGATTGGACGTGCTTGGCGTTCTCCAGAGCAAAACCACACCGGAAGAAAGACAAGGGTACATCGACTGGCTCTACCATTGCCAGGTGCCTTCAGGCGGGTTCCGTGGCTTCCCAGGCACAGACTTTGGGCCAGAAAAGAGAAATAAGGATAATGAAGCTTGGGATCCAGCTAATGTCCCCGCGACATTCTTTGCGCTAGTCAACTTGCTCATCCTCGGGGATGACCTGTCGCGTGTCAAGCGACGGGAGTGTCTTGAGTGGCTTCCCAAGGTTCAACGCGCCGATGGAAGCTTCGGTGAGCTTGTCGGTCCCGAGGGGAGTGTAGGGGGGCCTCGTGATTTGCGATACTGCTGTTGTGCTGCCGGCATACGGTATGTCCTGCGCGGGCGGAATGAGACGGGGCTTGAGGGTGTACCAGATATTGATGTCCTCGGTTTTGTTTCTTTCATCGAGGCGTGCCAGGTATGTATTGACCTTGATGCTATGTCTGCGATTAGGATACTGACAAAGTCTGGCCAAACAGACGTACGACGGCGGCATGGCTGAGTCTCCTTTCTGTGAATCGCATAGTTCGTGTCTCCCTTTCTTCCACCTGAATCTTCTAACAACGCATAGGTGGACACACGTATTGCGCGGTTGGGTCTCTAGATTTCTTGCGCCGGACATCTAATGATCTGAAATCGCTGCCCCTACTATCGGCAGGCTCCGATCAATTCGAGGCTTTAATTACATGGCTGGCTTCAAGGCAAACAGCCCAGTTAGAGGAACCCGAGGAGAGTGAAGATGATGAACAGGCCGAGGCGACAGAGACGGGGTCTCTCAATGATAGAGTCCGCGGGTTACCCAATGTTCAAGCCCTCGAGCCTGACACAATATCATGCGCCGGGTTCAATGGCCGATGCAATAAATATGCGGACACATGCTACTCATTCTGGAACGGAGCGACACTGATGGTAGGCGATCTCCTGTTTGGTAATGATTATCTACTAATATGGGTGTTAGATGCTGGACCAATATTCCGTGGTCGATGAAGTTCGCAATCGTCGATACTTGCTCGAAAAGACCCAACATCTTGTCGGTGGGTTTGGGAAGGGACCCGGGGATCCTCCTGGTAAGGTAATCGCATGCTGATTCCGAGAATGTGTTGCTAATCAAATCTATAGACCTTCTTCACTCATACTTTGGCATGGTGTCCCTGGCTTTCCAGGGTGAGGCGGGACTCAACCCCGTCGATCCCACGATGGGTTCTAGTGAACGCACAGTCCGACATCTTGAATCGCTGCCTTGGCAATCATGAAGTATATAATACCCGTGCATGTAATATGACGATGGTTGTTCGGCCATTCCACCAATTAGCTCATGTCAGCACGCATCAGCCAATAGGTGCAGTCGACTAAATTAATTAGGCGTCGGTGTACATCGTACGTTGTACATGTACCATTCACAAGTAAGGGTTAACTCTTAGGCAGTAAGGCAGTAGTAACAACACATATTCTCCCTACAACGTAGGATTATGGTGATCATGATCAGATTGTTTCCGGGTAATGGAAGTCTGGCATTCTAGCCAATCAAGGTAATTTGTTGACAATTATGAACAGGGTCAGGAGATAGATAGGAACAAAGTCCGGAATACTTAATTTATCTGAAATATATATAATGTGTATAATGTACTCCGTATATTGTATAACTATTGTACACAAAAGATAATAATAGAAGACTCCCCCAAAAAAAAGGAGAGCCGTCCAAGTCCCGAGTTCTCCACACGGTCCACGTTCCCGTTGACGTCTTGGAATCTTCCAAAGGCCTTTGTATGCAATTTCCCTTCTCCTTTCATCATTTGCGGTGTTACTCTATTTATCCGGCCATCTTTCCGAAGCCCAAGCTACCCCTTTCTGAAACCTTTCGACCTCTTCCTCCACTCCGGATACCGTTTATCCGCGCATCTCGTGCCCCGTTGAATGGCACCCCCGACACACCAACCATTCCTAGCCAACCCCTTGACGCGCAGAGATTCTCTCGACCGCAAAACTTGGCAATCATAACATATGCCGCCTCGAACAAGAGCGGGGGTTCAAAGCCAGAAACAGAAGGAGAAGGTGCGTCATCAGGGATGCGAAACAGGGAGCTCCGCCGGTTGCCTTTGTTTGAGCCTTGCGCAAAGTCCATGGAAATATGACTAATTCGGAACTCAACAGCTTGCCAACTCCTACAATGAACTCCTTGAGTAAGCGATTTTTTTTTCGGTCTAGATACTCAGTCGCGCTAACATGCTTCTCCACAGGGAGTTCTCCTCCAAGGATCTTCGGACTGTAGGAAATTATACATTGGGGAGGTTGATTGGAAAAGGCTCCTTCGGCAAAGTCTATCTGGCGTCGCACAAACTCACCAATGGCTCCAAGGTAGATCATGTCATGCGAAGAACAAAGCTGTGGAAGTAATGCTGATCAAGTCCGCAGGTGGTGCTCAAATCGTCCAGCAAGGAAGACACCAATCTCGCGCGCGAGATCCATCACCATCGCCAATTCCTCCACCCCCATATCGCGCGACTATATGAAGTGGTGGTAACTGAGAGCCTTGTTTGGCTTGTGCTAGAGTATTGTCCCGGTACGTTGATTTGCGCATGGCTGAAGATGTCTGGGGAAACATACTGACAAATGGTTTTCTCTAGGCGATGAACTCTACAACTACCTCCTTCGCCACGGCCCACTCCCGGTAGAGAAAGTCAAGCGGATATTTACACAATTGGTGGGAGCGGTCGCCTACGTCCACAGTAAATCATGTGTACATCGCGACTTGAAACTGGAAAACATATTGCTGGATAAACAAGAAAACGTCAAGCTATGCGATTTTGGGTTTACGCGCGAATATGAAGGGAAGGCTAGCTACCTTCAGACATTCTGTGGGACGATATGCTATAGTGCACCCGAAATGCTCAAAGGAGAGAAATACGCGGGTGAAAAAGTGGATGTGTGGAGCCTGGGAATCATTCTCTATGCGCTTTTGGCAGGTGAGCTGCCATATGACGACGATGACGACCAAATCACCAAAAAGCGGATATTGTCCGACGAGCCGACCTTCAACGACAAGTTCACAGACGATGCCAAGGCTTTGATCAATCTCCTGTTGTCCAAACGACCTTTGATTCGACCTAGCCTGGACGAGATCTTATCTCACCCTTTCCTTGCGGAACATGCCCCTGAACAACTGGCAATCCTAAAAATCCCAAGACCGTCGCCGTTCACTACACCACTAGAGAAGACTACCTTGCAGCGGATGAAAAGCGCTGGGGTGAATATTGACGAGGTCATTGAAAATGTCCTCGCTCAGCGTTGCGATCCACTGGCTGGCTGGTGGGCCCTGTTAATTGAAAAAGAGCAACGGAAAGAAAGAAAGAGGGAGCGCAAGCGTCGCGAGCGGGATGTTGAGGCAAAAAACCTCCGCCGTCTGAGCGCTGCGAGCAGTCGTTTGGAGAAGCGATCATCGGCTTTAATGGAGGTGGAGGAAGAAGGCTCAGGGTTACGAGATCGCGGGAGACGGGATAGAAGAAGCTTACCATCTCAGTTGGCGGTGCCAGATCTTCCGGCGCTTCCTGAACCGCTTCCTGTATTTCCAATTGAGGTCACCACGCCACCATTGCCGCTCGATAAAGATTCTATACGGTCCGACAACTCGACACGACGCCGTCCAATTCCTCCGCCAAAAGACAGGCGGCGATCACGGCCCAGCATGCTGCATGTTAGTGCATCACAGCCGGAGTTAACACAGCATCACGGCATCTTCCGGCGTCGCACTACTCGTCGTCACCAGTATCCGATACTCAGCCAACTAGCCTCTCTCAAGCATTGGTTTGTAGAGTCGGCGAAGAGAGCGCGGTCTCCCCATGCCAAATCGACAAGCTCGCGGAAGTTTCTTTCTGAAAAGTTGAGCCCGGCAAAGAGTCAGGATACTGGAAAGAAACCCGCGAGCTTATCATCCCCAGCAAGCGAGGTCGCAGGGGAGGAGGTTGTTACACCAACCCAGGTCAAACGAATCTCCAATGCCAGCAGCCTCGCTCCTAGCAGTGCCTCATATCGCCAAAACCGCCACTCCTACCCTCGCCAGACGCGGCCATTGAACACCAGCCATAGTAGTCATCGAAACTCTCTCTCGCCTTCACCTATTACACCACGCGGATCCTATCGGCGTTCATCGGCCGGGCTACGAGGGCGCAAATCTACATCCTCCTCGGTATCATCGATCCGCAGCATCCATCACACTCGGGCTCACTCCAAGGCCTCTTCGATTTCCTCCAACAGTATAGATACCATCTCAACGCCCACTGCCAGAGCCTCAAAATCGCCTCATTCATCTATTAAAGTCCTGCCAACCACCCCCGGTGCCTCATCCCGCTTTCCGAGTAATATTCGGCTAGTAAGAGGGCCAGGCGGAGCACCTCGAGAGATTGGCGACCCAGGTCAGATGTCATCATCGTTTAATGAGGCGGTACCAGCGCCATTACTCTACTCGCCCTCTTCAAGCCTGGTGTTTGCAAGGCGAAAGAGATCTCTCTTCAAGGGTCCCATGATCCACACCACTAACTTAATGGTGTCTAGTGGGATAGCCAACTCCCCCCTTCCCGGTCAACCAGTGAACACCAGTCCCGACATTATCGCAGGGCGGCCTGTTGCCCGCAAGAGCCAAATCATCGAGGAAGAGGAAGATGTCGAAGGGATCGAGGAAGAAATTGAAGAAGTCGACGAGTTCGACGAACCTAGTACACCCGGTGATTTCGTTACTCCCGATGAGCACCCAGCAGACGAGACCGGATCTCCCTCAAGTGGCAGAATGCCATTCGCTCCTATTCCAAACCTTGAAACCAGTCCCCTTCGGCCTCCTCGCTCTTCCTCTTTGCGCTCGCCGTCCGATCCCGCAGACAAGATCGGCATCGCTGAATAATACCAATATTAACCTGACAGCTTCCTTGCAATTTCCCTTATGTGCATTAGATTCGTCTCTTTGTCCATCCCACGATCCCTCCTCCCTATGTTTGGTTAGACGATAGAGCTTTTTATACCCCCACTTACACAGCGTGTTCTCGTTTTCGTTTCCTTGGTTTGTTTTTTTTTTTTTTTTTTTTTTTTTTGGCATAATTGGATCCATCATTGGACCTATGCCTCTCTCTCTCTCTCTTGCGCTCTCCTTGAGATTTTCCTAGCTTCATGAAGCGCTCTCTTTTCCCATATTTCTTTGAACCCTTATGATGATTCGACCCTCGCTTGATTTTAATGTCTTTTGCCTAGCATCCCCCTGTCTCATATAGAAAGCTGTCCCTTATTCCAAGGCCATCTTGCTGGATTGATCAGCAACACAATATTGCATAATGAAGTTGCATAGACCAATACCAACTTTGATATCCTAACCTTACTCCGTGCGGTGACATATGCAAGGGTTACGCTCGCTATGTGTACGTGGAATCCCTCTAGGTACAGTCCTCTTTCATGTCTACTAGGATAGGGCTTAGGATAAATAAATCATGCTGCTTTTGGTGGTGCCAAACACCATCCGATAATTTCGACCGTGTATTAGCAATATTCTTTTTTCACGAGCTATTAATATAACATGGTAAGATTGTTGCCAAATGCCACGATGGATAGTACAATTTAGTGTGATTAATTTGTCGAAGAGATCCCACCACCATAAACCTGGCATGTCAGGTCGGTATTATATATAAGTATTTAGCTCTTGGTAGGAGTATGCACATGAAGATGGCTACCCATGCTAGATGTAGAACTAAGAAGAAATACATTAATACCATACGAAAGAGGCTTTACTACTTACTGCATATGTAGACTATATATATTGTTGAGGCAACCTTTCTACCTAAGGCGGATCGGATGTCTGCTCACCAGGACTGACCTTCGTTCATCTTTCTCTCTCTCTCTCTCTCAGTCAACAGTTTAGCTCAATCCATGGTCCTCTTTCCACTTCGCTTTCTCTATATATATCTATAATCAAGGTTGCTAGGCTTTATTAAGGGGACTCCAATATTCTGATTTTGCTGAATACATGCACCCAGGGCTCTGATGAGTTGGGGCTTTGGCTTAATGTATCGCAAACTGGCGATCCAGAGGCGAGGTAAGAGATTTGTTTGCTATGGGGAGACAGAATTGGGGGGGTTTTTCCTTCCACAAAGTCTCGAGAATCTGACCTTCTGGAGTCTAGGGTCCGGTTACTGTCTTCACGACGACTGCGATTACAATATGCTATTTATATGGATTTTTCTATCTTTGCCATATCTTGCACCTTCAAAGGAACTCTCGCCTACGCAAGGACTTTCAAGGTAGAACG